TTTGATGGAGGGTTGTTTGCAATAGGTGAGAATTGGGATGTTTGGAATTCCAACTTTGATTGGTTTTGAATCTTACAACTTTTTCCCTTAGCCAAAGTAAAAAACCATGTAGCCACACTAGTAGGCGGTTATCGGTTTTCTTATCGGTTAACCGCTAACCGATTAATCGGTTAGCGGTTAACCAATAACCAAAATACTACTAACCGAAACCGAAATTAATAAGGAAGTAACGGTTATCGGTTAACCACTAACCGACTTTATCGGTTCGGTTATCGGTTAAAACCGATAACCGACTAACCGTTTATCACCCCTATTTGAGAGTATGAGGAACCAGATACTCAAGTGCTAGACTCTGATTTTGAAGTGCAGCTCGATCCTAGAAAGCTCAAGCAAAGAATATGCATCTCCATGCATGTCTCAGACCATATGTTAGAGCCATTCATCCAACTACTGAAGGAGTAAAAAGAGTTGTTCTCGTGGAGCACATAAGATTTGCCTGGCGTGCAAAGAAAAGTTATGCAACACAAATTGGCAGTTTTCAAGTGAAGCCGAACTGCATGTGATCTCGGCTGTGATCTCCATCTCCAGGCCACGATCTTCAGTCTTATGCCCCTTTTGCTACACGTGTGTCCTTATTTTGTACTTAATTCGCATGTATTGTCTAAAGCACCCTAAAAGCACATCGAAATCAAATAGGATAGAAATAGGGATGCAATTGACTCTGCTCAAACAATTAAGCACATGAATTAGCACGAAACAAACCTTAATATGAAGGGTAAATTACACCAATTTGTCCCCAAGCAAACCTACTCAAACCAATGCAACATGATAGACAAAATAATGGGAATGCACTCTAGTTATTCATTGTATAAAGAAGAGTAGATGGAGACGAATGAACATTACTATCATCTTATTGTGAAAGCATAAAATCTCGGCTGAGGATCATACTTACTAACTTAGGTCAAACATTCAAGGTGTGCACTGGGGGATTTCTCAAACAACAAATAAGCACAAGAACTCTCAAAGGTGATCTTTATTCTCTCTTTTGATTTAGGAGTTGTCGTTTATTGGTCTCCTTTTCGATGTTGACACACATTGCACCAAGCTTTTACAAAATCTTTTGCGAATAAGCATCTCTCCCTCTTGACCAAGACCTGATGAATCATAGCCTTCCCTTTCAAGGTCACATGTGGGAAATGTGATGGGCATATTCGTCTTAGCTTGAGCACCACTTCCCAGCCTGCACGCCACACTGGGTTGCCACATATGTTGGGTACAAACGAGAGCTTTGAGGTCTCATGAATCATTAAAAGGTACTTTTTAGTTTGGCATACGATTATGTGAGGAGGAAAGATGCGTGGGGGGATGGTAAGTAGTGAAAGATGGTCGGGACGCGGCAAAGGTATTTGATCCCCAAACATATCCTCAAAGGGCACTCCAAATTCGTGAGGATTGGTTGCCTCTCACGTGATAACCTCATTTTCAAAAGATATTTCTCTCTTCTCTTTCTCTTCCAATACGCACAAATTTGTAAAAGCTTTGAGTTCACAAAAAAAAAACCAAAAGAGAATCCCGCACTCATGTTCTTCCTAAATTAGCAACTCAAAAAGAGGAAGAATATAGTAAAATCCCTCATACACCGGTACTCTAGTCATGCAACTATCACCTAGCGAGCACAACGCATCAATTATCTATAAAATCAAAGCATATCGAGTAGAGAGCTGCAAGGAACAAGGTGATTAGGAACCCTCAAATTGGAAAAGTTTTGGTAATGCATTCAAGGTTCCAAAACACTATCATTTGATCATTAATCACCACAACACAAACACAACGCTAGCATACACTCCCATACGCATTCATCAACGTCTTATATTCATAAACAAGGGAGGATACTAGCAATTCATGGTTCAATCAATCATGATAATCATTCAAGCATTCACACACATCCCTCCCCCCCCCCCCCCCCCCACTTGAGCAACATATGTCCTCAATGTGGGAGTTTCATAAGAGAAGAGCATGAAGGTTACCATAGGTTGGATTGTGGGTTGGTAAAGGTACACAAGTGTAGGTCTTTGTCATCCTGGTGATTTTCACAATGATAAAGCGCATAAGAAGAGAGGAAGACGATTAAGAGTTAAAGGTATGATAGATATATAATATAAGTACTAATACTACTAGTGCTGGAATATTTAAAGTACAAAAATAAACAAAAATAAAGCAATAATTAAAAATTATTTTAATTAAAAGAAAATAAAAGACAGAACTTAGGTCTCAGATGCCTAGTACTCAATCCTCCTTGGAGATGTCATTAAAGTGGTCATCATCCTCTGACACAAGATGATCGCCATCCGATGGGGGTGAAAGAGGGAATGCCTGCTCAACTTCGCTTGGATCCATATGCATTTTTCTCATTACCATGTGAACCGCCCCCAATGGATGACGTTTATACTTCCTCTCTCGCCTTAAAAGGAAACGAGCCTCCCCTTGATTCTCAATAAGCCTGGAGTTCTGCTCAATTAGCTTGGCATTCTGATTAATAAGAATGGCCTATCTGGGATGCTTGGGTGGCGGAGGATGATCTCCCTGTTCCTGCTAAAGAAGCCGGTTGGGGCGATTCAAGTGAGAGTTTGAGTGGTTGGGGAGTTATGCCCTTGATAGTCTTTCTTCCATTAGTCACCGCTAGAAGCTTCATTTTGGATAAGTGATCCTCGGAGAACACTTGAGTGGAGCGGATGATCATACAGTTTCATTCCTCCAAGTTTATCCCAAAATATCTTGCAAGACGAGTGAAAAATGCCCCTTTATGGATGATCTTTGCTGGCAAGTTCGAAATATTCTTGTAGAGAGTTTTGAGGCTGACCAATCCAAAATTCATATGAGACTCAACGAACATTTAGAAAACCCGTCTTATTCTATCTCAATTCAATCCCTTCGAAGAAAGGAAGGTTGCAAGCCTCTTCATTTCCAAGAGATCATTCTGTAACTCAACACAAACCAACAAACCTCATTAATTTTATATCCCCTAAATAATGGAAAAAGAATAAGAGAAGGAAATCCGACACATTCTTCTTTCCTTGGTGGTTGCAGTAGCTACCGGGCGGTCTAGCTGGTTCCGATACCAGGTGGTAATGCTTGTGACTGCAATTATTGAATTTACAACTCGTAAAAAAGGCTAAATGCATTTTCATTTGTTAACAGTTGGCTGCTATCACAATTGGTAATATTCACCTAAACCTTTGTACCAAACATTAAACTTGGATGTAGACCACTGTTTCACAAAATCGGAAAAGCAATGAGTATATTATTGATGGGGTAGAGTGGAAGGTTGGGGACCTTTGTTTGTTTCTATAGCCATTAAGTTAAATCAGATAATCTGTTGAAAAGCTTGATTGAGAAATCCCAACCTACATGGACCTCATCTACAATTTGTTTTATTATCTTTCATATCTCTCAAATTATTTAGACAATGTTTAAGGTAAAGATCGATGTATTTGTATCTAGTAAAATAAAAGATGAGTTAATTTTTGATTAACGAGTCTTTATCGGCATGTGCTTAATTGCACGGTGCGTATAGTATAGAATTTTAATTCACCTCCAGAATTGTTTGTATGGATTTCCAACTAAGCAATATGGTCATCTTTTAGAAAACATGACCCATAAGTGGCCTAGTTTGAAAAGTGAAAAATGTGAATCAGTTTCCCTTTTACAATATATTTGCTATATAGTAAACAGATTAGTTTGTTTGGAAAACCAACGAAGATATGCTAGTTGTTGAAGCAAATTATACCGTCGTTTTTTATTAAATATGTACGTAATATATCGAAAGAGAAAGTTATGTCTTACAAGTTAGATACTTTGATGATGAATACGAGAATCTCCCTTCATATTATGAAATTGAGCTTTATAATTATATCACTGTCGTATATTATTAAACATTTCTCTTTAAAATTTATTTTAAATGAAAATATTATCCATGTCCTTCTAAACCAACGTAAAATACCAAACGGTTCATGATCTTGAAGACTTATTTATATGATGAACATCACTTGACATACAATAAATTTAGAAGAAAAAAAAAGCAAAATTTTCATCCATTTCAATCAATTTTCTTGCCTTAACAGCATTAAATCACCAGCTGTTGCCAATTGCCATCCCCCCACCACCTCACTAAAACCCTTTTCCCTCTTTCCGGTCCTTTTCTTTTGTTTTTCACTGAAATCAATTAACAACGGAAAACAATTCTCCACATCTATCTCTATAAAACCTCTCTCCCCTGAGCGTTTTCCTCTCTCTCCATTGCCACACTGAGCCTCCCTCTCTTCCTTCCTCTGCCATCCCCCAATCCCCCACTTCAGCCGCGCCTGCTCTCTCCAAGCTCAATCTCAGGTTCCTTCTGAATCTATCTTGAATGAAAAATGCGCATCTCTCTTTCTTGCATTTTGGGTTTTTGTGGGTTTTGACTGGCTGCTCTGCTTTCGCTTTTGGGATTAGATCTGTTCCCTTATACTGTAACTGGGATTGGTGTGTAGTATTACTCTGTAATGGCGGCGGTGTTTGACTCTCCTCTCCTTTCGTTAGCTTAATTTAGCCTTCATGAGCTGAAATTTGTTGATTGGAATAAGAATATTAGAAAAAAATAGCCTAATTGAGCCACCAGCTCAAATTTTTGCATGCAGGACTCGGCCTTTTCTTTCGTCATTTTCGATGTGCTTAAGAAGCTGTTGCAAATTGCCGTTTTCTTAAGTTTCTCTTTCTTGTTTTGGCCCACCATGGTTGAACCAGTCAAGATCTGAACTTTCTCCCTCATTACTCACTTAGATCTGTTATGCTTTCAGTTCATACGATTTCGGCATGTGGGTTCCTAAAATCTTTCTCCCCAAAAACTATCACCAATTTTGTTTCCCCCCTTTTGCTCACATTGCTAGTCACTTGTCTCCCCCTGGCAGGAATCTGAATATAGTGGAATTTGTGATAGTGGTTTGGTGCTGGATTTTGTTCCGATGGAGTTCCCTAGCAAGTTGGTGTTGTTGTTCCTGATAGCCATACTGTCGTCAACACAGTCTCAATCGGCTACGAGCCCTCCAGCCCCAGTCCCCTTCAGCCCTGCACCAGCTCCAGCACCAACTTCCCCATACGTTAACCTCACCGATTTGCTTTCAGTAGCCGGCCCTTTCCATGAATTCCTGGGCTACCTCCAATCGACGAAAGTAATCGACACATTCCAGAACCAAGCGAACAATACCCACCAAGGAATCACCCTCTTTGTCCCTAAAGACTCGGCTTTTCGAGCACTCAACAAGCCACCACTCCCTTCCTTGTCCAATGTCTCCGCGGACCAGCTCAAGCAGATCATGCTCTTCCACGCATTGCCTCGGTTCTACTCTTTGGCCGACTTCGACAAGCTCAGCCAGAAGAACCCTGTGAGCACATTTGCGGGTTCCGGCCAGTTTGCACTCAACTTCACTTACACCAACGGGTTGATCCGGATTGATTCTGGTTGGAGCCAGACTAAGTTGAGCAGTGCTGTGCATTCGACTAACCCCGTGGCTATATACCAAGTTGATAAGGTGCTGCTCCCTGAGGCCGTCTTTGGGGCCGATATCCCACCAATGCCGGCTCCTGCTCCTGCTCCTGAGAAGGCGGCGAGCCAAGCTCCCGACGCAGATAGTCCTTCTGCTGATGCCACGTCGGGGAAAGGAGGGAAGGGTTCAGGGGATTCTACTTCATCAGCTGGTTCTGCTGGGCTTGGTTTGTTGAGCAAGTTGGTGGTTGCTTGCGGAGGAGTGATGATGTTGTTGTTGTGAGAAGTTTTAAGAGTCGTTTAATTTATGTTTCATCCCTTTTTCGAGAACATTTTAATTTGTGGGCTATTGGAGTTGGTGTTTTGGGATTTGGAGACCGTATTTTTTTTATTTATATGTATAATGTCATTCTGGATTCCAGTGAGGTGAAAGTTGGTCTTGTGATCTCTTTTATTTTCCTGGTTCTCTCTTGAAATTTGGTACTATTACAGAAGATTCAGGGGAAAGAGGTGATTTGTTGCCTGGAAATTGTTTGGTTACTGAGAAAGCAGGGTGACGGGTCATCAATCAATGTGAAAGGTGTAAGGAAGATTTTGTTTATGGAGGGAGAAAAGGACACTTGGTTCTTGCTTGTCCTATAAGCAAAGAAAAGTTTGCTTCTTTTTGGTCATTTTGGAAGGAATCCGAAACCTTATTCTAAGGAATAGTTAGGAAGTTAAGCAGGGTGATGTTGGAAGGTGTTTAATGGTTCCAATGGCTTCACCTTGAATACGAATAAGACAGACTTTGCAGTGTCCTGCGCCTAAGTCATAGCAGCATATGCCCTCAAGCGGGTTCGACTCAAACCTCAGTCAGCTACTGCTGTTATTCTGACATGTAATCTTCCATTCTGCGGTAGGAACAAATCTTGGCAGTCCTTTTGTTTCTCGAAACTCAACAGTTACCCTAGGCTGACATGCAATCTACCAAAGACGCCAGAACATGATGGTGAGCTGGAAGTTGTGATATATAGTTACAGGAGCAGAATGACAATCATGATTCCTGAAGGAGATCCATTTAATTTCTTGCTACATGCTTTTTGTGGCTGTCTCGTGGACACTTCTCGACAAATTGCTTACTCATTCGTGTTTGAGCTTAATCATTACAAAACAGGTCACAGCTTTAGTGTTGCCTGCCTGGTCGAAACCCCACTTCCATTTTAGCTTCCCTTTTTGTTGTCTTGCAATCATTTTTCCAGCGGCATATTAAAAGCTGTGATCCCATTGCATAAATTTACTTGTTTCCACAATCACCCATATGTAAGTGACTTGTTGCTAGAGAGCTACTTTTGAAAATGATTTAGGGTTAGATGAGAAAATGATCCGTACCAAATATCACAATAAAAATCACGATTAATGTTCAAGTGTAAACCTTAATCGGGTGCAATATAGGGAAAGCATGTTTTAAAAAGTCAAACTCGAGCCGATCCATGTACACCTACTTCAATTGTTTGAAACATTATCTAGCAAATTGTTTTTTTTTATTAAAACGATGGTTTATAGCTAGAGCGATTGTAAAAGTAAATGGTTTGAACACTAATTGAGAAGGTTTCACCCGAGTGTTGCTCCCTCTAGCTAGTAATCATGACTTGTTAGATCGAATGCAAATGTGTGGTAAAAGCGGTTATAAACCGTAGGGAAGCGTAACAAGTGAACATATGTCACTCTCTCGATCACTAGGCCAAGGGATTTCGAATCAAGCTACCAAGGTAGGTCTCTTGGCCAATCGACTAAGGGTTGCTTAGGCATCACCCTCGAATCGTAGTTCGAAATGTCAAAATACAACCTACTCAAGGGGCTAATACATATTAAGAGGTTTGCCCTAATTCAACCTAAGTAGGTGACACAATTTGGCCAAGGAATTGCAGCTTTTACAAGTATCTTAGCAAGAAGGGGATTTCCCTCTACCTAGGTCAAAATAGCATAAGAGTTGGAAATGTAAAAACACAACACAACCTTCATGAAAATACCACCTAACTTGTATTAAAACACAACCACACACAAGTCATTCAATCCATACAAGCATTCACATAATTATAGATAGGGTTTACAAACACCCAAGTGAAAGAGAGGACTACTCCATGCTAAGTAGAGGGAATACACAAAGAAGAAGAGAGAAAACGATCTTGATGATGTTTTCCTTCTCCCTTGTGGTTTGGAGATCAACCTTGAAGGAAGAAATTCCCAAAATTGTGCTCTTAGATGAAACCCAAACTTCTTCTCTTGTTCGTCACTTTCTCACTTTAGAAATCTGAAGAATAAGAAGAAGAAGAAGAAGAAGAAGAAGAAGAAGAAGAAGAAGAAGAAGTGTCTCTCACTAGGTTCTCTCCTTTCTCTCTTTCAGCTCAGCCCTCCTTATACACCCAGATCGACGGTGTTTCACGGTCGTGAACATTGGGCATGGACCGTGATGTCAAGCAAAAGTGCGTCGTTTCACTAAAGCGCTTCACGGTCTAAAGCTGGTTTTTCACGACCGGCTGATCGTGAATTGTTGAACGCCCGCGAGGTAGACAAAATCCTCCTGGACTCCATGCGCTTCACGGCCCACGCCTCTTCTTCACAGTCTGGATAACCGTGATCTTCTGTCCTCCACCGTGAACTGTTGTTGTTTGCTCCCTTTTGACCGGTTTTTGCCCCTTTTCGTCCAACTTTCGTTCAATGGGTTGATTCCACCTGCTAGGATCTGAAACATACTAAAAACAACCACAACCTAGCGTAAAACCAAACCTCACAAAGTAAAAGTACCTCATACATCTAAGGAAAATGAGGATAAATGTGTACAATTATACCTGAATCACTCCTCCACACTTAGACGTTTGCTTGTCCCTAAGCAAACCAATTCCAAACAAGGTAATATCTCAGCCTAACTAGATAACTTGGGGACATATCAAAGGGATCAAAGCGGGTGAATCTCAATGGCTAATGGGCATCAACACATGAACCGTTACAAGCAATACCGACATCCATCACAAATGACAGTCGAATGCATTAAGAAAGTGCAAACGAGAAGTTCTCACCTTGTTCAAAAATCAATACACGTCTCGAAAGGACTACTCACCAACTACAACTAACGGTGCATAGAGTTCAAGTCCAAGGAACAAACGAATGAGCGACATAGGTCCTCACCGGGATAAGATATGAACATGCAAAATGTGAAAGAATCACTCACTCTCGACCAGTGAGGTCAGGACCATTTGGTGCAAAAGATGTGCACAATCGTCAACACTCATCCCTGTCATCTCTTCACCACGGCGGCAACCTCTAAATGCTAGAGTTCACCACGGGTTCAAATGACTGGAAATGGTCTTGGACATAGGGAAAATGCCTATTGGGTGGTGCCAAGCAAAGCATGAGGTTCTACATCTTCAACCTAAAACCAAAAGTTCTATGATTTCGACTATAACCTTTCCTACAATCAACTGCCACTAGCATCGGCCAAAAACCACACTTCCCTTCTTCCAAACCACTACCAACCACGACTGCATTCAAACACACTTCCTCGGCTAATCCTGTTATCCAAATTTCAATCATAGTAGTAGTAAACAAGCAACTAGGTGTTTCAATGGCTTGAGTGGCAAGAAACCCTTTCTAGAGCATAAACATCATTATTTGTGGAAACTCTCTAACTTTTATTTACCCCGTTTATTACCTCTTTTTCAATTCTTTTTTCTACTTTTCTTTGTCTTTGTCTTTTTCTTTTTTCTTTCGAGGGGGTACTAGAGAGCTAAACACATGCCACTTAAACACTTAACAAACAATGCTCTCTATTAAGAACTTCTTCCAACACTACCTTTTCATTTCTAGCAAGAACCATGTGATAGACCGTTATTTACACATGTTTTCACCCCTGTTCTTACACCGTTTGATGTATTGATTCTCGTGTTTTAGGCCGATTTCACGCTAGGTTGTGCTTGGTTGTGATATTTCAGGTCCTAAGACGTGAATGAAGGCTTAGGAGCGAGTCTGGGGTCGATTGGACGAAGGTCGGACGCATGGCGAGGTTCCAAGGAGGATGCACGGCCAGACCAGGGAGTCGCACGGCCGTGCAATGGAGCAAGTTGGCCGTGCGCTTTTTGCCGAGGCCACGCACGGGCAAGCCATGGAAGTCGCACGGCCGTGCAACATACAATTGTGGCCGTGCGTTATGCGAGCACGCACGGGCAGAGCAGGAAACTCGCACGGCCGTGCAAGTGACCCGTTTGGCCGTGCGGATTGGTGCGAGAGCTTGCACGGGCACAAGCGAAATCCGCACGGCCGTGCAAGGTGCAATCCTGGCCGTGCGAGATGGCTGAGGTTCGACTTAATGGTACGCCGCGTTTTGAGTCGCACGGCCAGAATGGTGATGTGCACGGCCGTGCACCCTGGCCGTGCGAGTCGGGAAAGTCTGGTTTTTAAGCGGATTCCGAGCCAAACAGAAGGGGATTCGAGTTTTTGAGAGACAGAGCGGTTCCTAGAGAGAGAAAGCGACGAACAAGAGTCTCCAAGTGCCCTAGATCGATCTTCAACACCATTGGAGCTTGGTTTGAGCTTGGAGAAGTGCCGATTCAACGTCCAGGAGCAGAAATCCATCTTCACAGTATGATTTCCGCGTCTGATTCTGCTTTTGCTTCTCTCTCCATGGAGTAGTTCCCCCATTCATCTGGGTGTGGGAAACCCTAGATCTGTATGTTAGGTTTGATTGTATGAACCCAAGTTTTGATTCTATGATTTGATTGTATTCGATTGAGGCTTGAATGATTGAATGACTTGAATCCTGATCAAATTCCTGTTGTTTCTGCTTTAACCTAGAATGATAATATCTGCCTAGGTTGATAGAGTATCCTTAATCGAAGGTAGTGAATTGGTGACTTTAGTCGAGGAGCCAGTTCACTATTCTGTACCGAATTCAACTCGGTAGTGGAGGTTTCGTTCATAGGGCCTCAATCTGTTTACTCCGGTGTAGGTTAGTCGCCAGCTAGAGACTCAGATTGAGAGGGTCTGAAGACCTTTAGTCGAGACTTCAGACTGTTTGAGAACCTTCCGCAGTATAACTATCATAGAAATTGAACTTGGTAATTACAATCCGGCTTAACTGCAGACTAGGGGGAACCATATCCGGGTGACCTCTCTTAATCTGAATACAAACGTTTAGTTGCTTTGCTTGCTTGTTAGTTTAGAACTTCACTAAAGTTTCATTGCTAGATAATACGAATTCACTGAGTAGTCATCACATCTAGGACCCGGGTTGACATTAAAACCCAAACC